CACCTAAGAATTGAGGAGTTATTTTGCCAATTCCCAGTCTTTTCCTCACCTCCCTCCCAGTCTTTTCCTCTAGCAGTTTCATTTCCTGAGCTTTGCTTCCTGTCCTTTGATTCCGATCCGAGTCGTTAGTTCACATGATCACATCGTCTGCACTCCTGGTAGAATTAAATTTAATATTTGACCGTCTACAGTTATTTACGCGTCTCTATTGACCCTTCGAATTACTGCCACTATCAGCTTTTGGGCTTCCTAGAAGCTCCGACCTTCACACGGTGACGATGGCAACGGACGGCTTGGCACGCATCGTTCGGCTCCGCTCACTCATTTTTCTGTCGTGCCTCGCCGTGGTTTCTCCAGTTCAATGTGTCCCCTTTGCCGCCTACCAAGGTTCGTTTTTGTAGAGCGAACTTGGCGTCAGTCGAACGCCCCCTGTCGGAGGATGATGTTTCTAGGAAGGTTGTGAGAGTCGGCCGCCCCTTGATGGAGGATGATGTGAGAGTTGAGGTGAGAGTGGAGGTGAGAGGTGACCGGCCCCTGTCTTCCCACACGCGTGGAGCAATCTCTTCGTGCTTGCCCATCTCACCTGTCAGCATTACGGATTTCTGATGGAGGGTTTGAGAGAGGTAGGAAAGGCCATACGAGATTAATGCGCTTATCATATCTTTCCTTCCCTTCCCCAACTCCTAAGGATTAGGCTGTTTCCCGCCCCTTATTTTTCTCTCTACTGGCCCATTGCGGCTCCTACTGAAACAAGGCTACGGCGCAGCGACGCACGGCGCGGCTGGCCTGGCCGGCCTGGCGAGTAAGGAGCGGCGCCGTAGCTAAGAAAATAGAGTAGACACGCAGCGGAAGGGAGGGAAGCTAGGCTAGAGAGACCTAGCTCCAGAAATGTAGATGACGAGAGAGTTGAGGAGAAGAGAATCAAGATAGATGAAAGGATTCTCAGATTAGAATAGAAGATCCAAGGATGATAAAAGAAGAGAGGTGCGACTCGGATAGGAATACCGTGTCGCTACTCAATATAGCATAGCATCTCGACATCAAGTGTTGTTGTTCGTAGCTAGCTAGGCAAGGACCCGTTCGGAAATTCCCATGCATCTCGCATGGTGAATTCCGTCTTGTTACACCTACTCCCCCCTGCCGCCAGTGCAACTACTGCTGCCTGGAATTCCGGCAGGCATAGGGGCGGGAATTTAATGTGTGGGTGGCTTGCTGCCAGGGTGATGCAGCAATGGCAAAGGCCGCAGACCATTAACAAGAATTTTCACCACGAGTACTATCAGTAGTCAGTGATTTGAGTCACGTGATCGAGTTGCCTAATGGAGCTCAGGAATGCTCATCCTCAACGATACTCACCCCTTACTTTTTGACCTCCTCTCCTGTTTACGCCTCTTATCATCAGTGGCACCATCGCAAGTTCAGCGGATGAATCAGTGGCCATGGCATGCCCATGCTCCCATGCGCATAATGCTGCTCAATGAAGCAGTTTGAAACTTCGGGTCTCGGTTTCTAGGTACTTCTCCATCGCACGTGTCCATTCCGCAGTCGTTCAGCACAGGCTGGTATGATTGAGGGGGAAAGAGAAGGGTGCGACATACCAGCAACACCCTTTCTCTTCCCCCCTCAATCATACCAGCACAGGCTGGTATGATTGAGGTGACGAGAGCCGATTTCTCATTCCTCCGTTCCCTGCCCCCCCCCCCCCCCCCCTCCTTCTCTTACCCTTGCCTTCCTGCCCCCCTCTCCCCTCCCCCACCGTCTGTCGCCAGTGCAAGTCCTACAGGACTTGCAGCAAGCGTGGGGGCAGACCTTCTCTGGGTGGGTGGCTGCCGGGAACTGCAGCTTGGCCTACGGTTTAAAATGCGATGCCCACGGTGTGGTGACCAGCATGTGAGAGCACCAACTCTAGCTGGTCGTGCATCCCCCATGTGCGCACCAACCCTTGCTGGCCTTGACTTGAATGCCTCTCTGTTCCCTCTCGCTCCACCCTTCTGCGTGTTCTGTACCTGCAATCCCTTGTTGCATTTTGGCAAGTTAACCGATGACGACCATGCAATCCCTTAATGCCTCTGTCTGTGTGGTTCTTTGTTCTTCACTTGCACTCCCTTGCTTCTTGAACCATTCATCCAACTGTCCCCGTCATCCAAACCCACTACCTGCTTTGGTGAACTCAAAATCGTCCCTGCCATATTTGAAGTTATGTACTAAAATACATCTTCCAGGGGGATCCTCGAATGACCTCCCGTCCAAGTTTCTAATATTTATATGCTTTATATCGTTGGAGAAATGTGGTTCTATAGATTGAGAGAGAGAGAGAGCAGCGCTTAGAGAGAGAGAACAACCCTAAACCCTAAACCCTGTGGGGTCACAGCGCTTCTGCGCTGACCTAGTCCGCAGCACTCTGACAGACGCGGCGGCACCCCTGGGCTCCCTAGCATCCATCCACCCACAGCATGCCCTCCTGCTATTGTCCCGCTGCATCAGCCGCAGAATCGGCTACCTGCTGCGCACCACCCCAGCAGATATCCTTCCCCTCTCGGAATGGCACGCGTGGTGCGCTGAACTGCTCAACACCGCCTTGACTGCCGCCAGCATTCAACCACCCCGCCGCGAAGCCGAGTTCAATTTCCTCATCCGCCAAGCAACCCTCCCAGTAGCCCTAGGCGGACTGGGCCTCACGGACCCCACAACAGAAGCAGCTCCGGCCTACCTGGCCTCAACGACAGAGGCGCTACGCCTGCTCCGCTCACTTGACCTACCAGCAACCGCGGCGCTGGGGAGCAACAGCAACGCCCTGCAGCCGTCTGCAGCACACTCGGTCACCATCCAAGATATAGAGGGACGACTGCCGCCGCTGGCGCTGCAACACCTCCGTGAGGAGCAAGAAACCCCGTCCCAAGACCAGCTTCAGCGCGCCCTCTCTCAGGAGGTGCACGCGGCAAAGGCCGACGCCCTGACAGAGAAATCACGCTTAATCAGGTCAGCCCCCGAGATGGGCCACACGCTCCGCCTCGTCAGCCTGAGAGGCGAGGGAGCGGGAGCATGGCTGCAAGCCCTACCCCTGACACCAGACCTCTGCTTCTCACCAGGGCAATTCCGAACAGCCCTGGCCTTCCGCATGGGCATCCGACAGAATGTACCTACCGTGTGCGAGTGTGGAGAGCTCGTGGCCGATTGCAGCCTACCCAACCACTTACTCCGCTGCAGCACAGGCCCGGACAGAATGCGCACACACAACCAGCTGGCTTTCGCCGTGGCTAAAATGGCGAGGGAGGCGCAGCTGGTGGTATACCTGGAGAATGCAATGTACCCACCACCGGATGACCCGAAGAAGGCAGATGTGATTGTACGCGACCCGGACAGTGGAGAGACTTGGATCACAGACACTACTATCACTGACCCTGTGCTGCAGAACCGATACCCGACAGCCCGCAAACCCCCAGGCTGGGCTGCAAGGGAGGCACAGAGGCGGAAGGAGAGGGACTACTACAGGCACACCGAACACGTGGTGTTCTGCGCCCTGGCCGTCGAGACCTACGGGGCAAACGCGCCCCCCACGACAGCGTTCCTTAAGCTGCTGGCCACAGCAGCGGCTAGGAACAGGTTCAGGGCCAACCTCTTGGCCAAATCGGCCAAGAAGATGGCCTGCCACTTCAGCCAACGCTGGTCAGTGGCCCTCCAGCGCTCCCAGGCGAATGCCCTGCACACCAAGGCCAGGGCTGGGATCGAGGCAGCGCACCCCCAGATGGCAGCGGACCCCTGGCCGCTGCACCTGGGGGACATCCTCCACACGCTGGAGGGCTAGAGGGTCACTCAGGGGGGGGGGGGGGAAAGAGGGGTGAGTTAAGGGGCTTAAGGGATGGAGGTTATCATGGATAGCACTGCATGTTCGTACCCCTGCTGAATCAATACAAAGGACCGTTTGAGAGAGCAGGGCGGGCATAAGTCTAGAAGTTCTATGATACCCAAGTCAGAGAACTAGTTGGCATGCTACGGGGCGTGGCAACAGTTGTATGCAGCAGGTGCGTGCGTGAAGGGAGTTCTGCTGGAGTTTGTGAAGGGAGAAGTAGAGGAAAATGGATGGGTGGAAGGAGGGAGGCACGTGGTGCATATGAGAGGTGTGGACAAGTTCGCAGTGAGTGTGCTGAGGGCCTGCTGGAGGGGTTGCTACGTGCTTGGAGACTTCGTGTGGGGACGAGATTCACACTGCCAGTGCCGTTCATTAAAAGCAAATTCTCTCCTTCCAAATGTCACTGCAGAACCAAAACGTCCATTTTAAGCGTAGAAACGGAAGGTAGACATTTGTAAGCGGTACAAGGTGTTAATGTTGTCTAACCTACCTTATCATCCACGTTTCCTTGCCCGTTTGCCTCCATTTCCCCCTGTGTGGCTCATATTGAAAGGAGTTCAATGCACTTCTCAGGTGTCGATGATCTCCGTGCATGTCAGCATAGGTGGAATGCAGATGGGCTGCATGGGCCTCTCCTAAGATTTTTAGTGTTCCCCACCCATTCCATTCCATTGCTGACCAGCGATTTGTCTTACGGAGGCTTGACCGGATCCATTCCAGATTCCATCGGTGCCTTGGACAGGCTGAATTATATGTGAGTATGAGTGGGAGCATGCAGGCATGAATAGGAGCATGCACACATGAGTGGGAGCATGCACACATGTGTGGGAGCAAGGATGAAAAATACGGAAGTCGTATTATACGGTCCGTTTAATACGGTCGTATTTTACGGCCATTTCTGGTAAAATACGGCGTATTTTTTATAGAGTTTTTTTTCCAGTCCCTGAAATGATTTCTTCCAAGTTCTGGAGGGTGCACATAAGCATAATAAACAGTAGGGATCAGCTACCACTACTACTACTACACAACATTTCCTCCCCACTAGTCTACTACTACTCCCCTCCCCTCTACTACTACTTCTACTAAGTCAGTCACTACTACTATATTCCTCACCCCCTACGTCTCTCTCCCTCCCCTACATCATCCAGCT